AGCCCTCTTAGTGATGGTTTTCCTGGCCTTATTCATCTCAGTACGCAGCACATTGTATACTAATTCAGCCCAATTATACTCCTTAAGAGTGTCCAATTTTTCAGCGTATCTAAATGCAAACAAGGGACAACTCATACTAGCTTGAGGGCATAATATAAATCCAATAATGAAAGAAACAAGCATCTGTGGGAAAAGAGGATCTCTACGCTCAGCCATATGCTTGATAAGTTCACCCATCCTATCTCTTCTAGCACAAACAATCTTCTTCTTACCTTCGTCATTTTTCTTCTTTCCACTTCTAGTCCTACGCTTCATATCTTCTTCAATTTCAGTAGTAGTACTATATGAAAGCACAAGCTTGTAGATTGTATCGCGGTCACTTCTATGAAACCGCGTGTCTACTATTGATCCACCCATCGGGAGCCCCGTTATTCTCCCCACTTCTTCAACACCGAAGGAGGTCCATTTTCCTCCATTTTTGAAACCTCTTTTTTCATCATTGAATACTCCCAACAAACAATCAACAATAACTGGTTGCATTGGCAAATCTGGAATATCTAAATACCCATAAAAAGGAGTACCACGGAGGGCAGTTCTTTGATCTTCCGATAAATAAACAGAAATTTCTTTTAGAAGGTCCCGGAAGTACCCAATATTTGATGGAATTCTCACTAAAGCCATGATATATAATTTTCTGCAACCATAAAACATAAGGTCATGAAATAAATCTACAGCAAAATTTTCATGCAGTCAATTTCAAATTAATCTACAACAACAATTTCTTCATTTTATTTCCTTTCGACATCATAAAGTCAAGAAACGTTTGAAAATTTATAATAGCCTTCAATAACTCTACAGCAATATTTTCATGCAGTCAATTTTCAGGCAGTCAATTTCCATGCAGTCAATTTCAAATTAATCTACAGCAATAATTTCTTCATTTTATTTCCATGCAGTCAATTTCCATTTCTCAATCTACAAAATTAAAATTTCTAAAAAACGTTTTAAAACCAATACCATTCCTTAATTATAATAGCTTGAACTTCAAAACAATATAAAAGCTTCGACTAATCCAGTACCTCAAACGGGCGAAGTCGGACGGCCAACGCATGACTAGGGCGTCGATTGATTGGGGCGTCGACTATCGCGATTAGGTAGGGGCGTCGACGCAATTACAAGCGCACGACGATTGACAAGTCGATGATTGGGGCGCGTCGACCGGTAGGAAACAATGGAAACGCGGCTAGAGCAGTAGCGTCGGCGGACTGGAGCGGCGGCGGCCTGGACTGCGGGCGACGGCTGGGCTGGGAACGTCGACGCGCTGGAGTCAGGCAGCAGCTGGAGAGGAGCGTCGACGCTGCGAGACGGGCTGGAGACGGGCTGGATGACGCAGCGTTGCGACGCGTGGAGGAGCAGGGCCATCGACGCGCTGGAGACGGGCCGACGACGCAAATGGGATCTCGTTTTTCAAGTTGGAGGCTGCCATTCTCAAATGGGTGAAGATGAGAGAGAGCAGATTACTAGGTTTTTATTGGGCGCAATCAAAAGGGGCTTATTCTTGCGTTCTTACATTAAATTCTGCTATAATACAAGTAGTCAAAAATACTGATTTTTTATGAATTGGCGTTTAAAGACAAAAATTAAAAGTGCAAACTGGAGGTTAAAGATACAGTTTGAAATACTTGGGTTTAAAGATAAATGTAGGTCCACAAATGGGCCTAAAGACAAAAACCCCTTATAAATATTGTTAGGAAGAGAAAAAGAGGATCTTTTAAGATTTAGATGACACGTAGGCACTATGTCAACTTTTAAGAAGTACTGAAAGCTAATGAAGTAACGGAAGTAGCTTTCCCCGATAAACAAGTATATTTTACTTCTTGAAAGTAGCAGAAATAACCTCTACTTCCTTTACGTCACTTACTTCATAGCTACTTCTGTGCAAACAAACATGCTCTAAAAGATGGATTACATAAGAATTTCCAAATTATAACGGTCACTAATTTTGAGATTACGTCCCAAAATAATTCTAAATTATCAAGCACTTAAGACTAAAACATCTAAAAAATGAACCTTCAATGTAGAACGAGGAAGACAATGCAAAAAATGAAGTTTATAGGAAATTGTTTGAACTCCAAATGAAATATTTTCCAATAATAATACCATAACATCATTAAGAATTCATCTCTATCAACTCATCCGTCAAACGAGCAGCAGCCATTGCTAACAACAAAAGCAAAACTATGCCAGCGCAAGCATTATGCAGATCGTCTCTTATGCGGATCACAGATCAACTATTTTTAAATAGCGGAAGTATAAACGAGAAATCATAGATCCATAAAACACACACAATACAGAGAATAAACATGGATTTTAAAGCAACTACATTAATTGACATGCAGCGTTTTAGAGATCCCTATAATAACCACAGAAATACAGCAGATGAGAGATCTCTGATACAGGGAAACTACATTCCCTCTGATCTTACTGTAAGCTACATAAACAACAATGTCTAAAATTTTAAGCCATAACCTCGACAAATACAACATTTTTCTCGACACTGCACACCACTAATAACTACCAAAGATTCTCCGAGTTTCTTTACAGCAACGTCCAGCTATACAACTGCTGCTCCTGAACGAAAATTCGAGAACTAGTAAATCACAAAGTCTGGTTCAAAACAAAGCATCCTCTTCGGCCACTAATTTATTGCAATAATAAAAGGGTAGCAGTTTGAGACAGGATAAAGGGGCCTCTCTCAAATCTTTGCTATTGGTGGCCATGGCTTCGAGAAGCCCAGATTCCGAAGACAAGAAACCAGAACACAAATAGGATTGCCCAATAGCGTGCTGGCCCGTACTTGATTCTAGATAAAATCACCTGAAGTTTCAAAAGGAAAAAAACACTTTTTATAAGCGCATGGGAAAAAGAACAAGATAGATAACAAGTTGAAGAAAAATATAATTTTTTTCAGCGTCAAGAAAGCAAATCTGATAACAAGTCATAGAAACTTAGATGACAGAAAATCTCTGAAAGAGCATTACATTTCGTGGGAACTTGCAGTCATTCTAACTTTTTTTATTTAGGCATTTTCTATGAACAAAGTTACCATGCCTAAATTAGAAACTAAGCCAGACAATTGTAGAAATTTTTAAGTATCAGGTTTCTACTTAGTATTCATCCATTAGTTTATGGCCTCATGCATATGCAATTCATCTATTCAGTAAAATATTCATTAGTACATGAAAGCTTCATAATAATATATAAATTTCTATTCAGAATAAGAATTATATGCAATATCCATGAATAAATATTATTCTTCAATGGTTAGTTGATTGATGGCGTCATTGTCAACTATGCTCCTATTAGCAATGATCCACAAGCTACTCATGTCCACTTTAATGTTCAACAGTGACATTTTATAACTAACTTCAGTTTAGATTAAAAAAATTAAACCTTTTTTTTTGCATATGCATGCACGCATGTAGCTGTCCAAAATGTTTTTTTTACCCCCATTTTCTCCAACATTTCAAATTCTGATCTATCCCCAGTCTTGACATTCATCACAAGAAGCCAATATGCAATACAAATAGTTATCTTTACGATCATGAATAAAAAAACAACTTGATATTAATAACAAACTAACAATGTATCTCCATATTTGAGTTGAACCATCAACTAGCCTGAGTCTGAATTGTTCCTTATTAAGGCGGAAAAAGAGGATTTTTAATGAAATATAGTAAGTATTAACCTAGTGATAGAATCTCAATAAGAGTCGTACAAAGTATCAAACTGGATGTATCATGCATATTCCAATTACAGCTTATAGAACATTTCAAATGTTCATGACCAAAGATGAAGAGAATGTTATGACAATGTAACAGTAGAAACAGCAAAACTACTTACAAATCTAAGGAAGATCACAGCAGTCAAAGCACATACACCTCCAAGCAGAATGTGAAGACCATTTCTTGCAGTTTTCTGCAAATTGAAGTTAAATTTGTTATCACAAAATACATAAATAAAATATAGGCGAATCAACCTATTCTAGTATCAAGTTTTAATTTTTTTTTCCCCAAAAAAAGGGCCATAGAATTCACCTATTTCAAATCTAAGATCGTTTAATGACTCTTGATCTAATTTAAGTTTTTACTCAGATGTGCTAAAGGATAACACTGGCCAAGAAAATGATATCACCAAGTAATTAACGCATAACTTAATGAAACAAGGCTTACAAATTGAAATTTCCGTATTACCTAAGAAGATAACATCAGCAATTTTTTCACACGAGTCAAAGGTCACTGATCCTTCAAAGAATTATTTCACTTTTGACGGAAAGCCTAATAATCAACAACTATAATACTGACACCTTATCCAAAAAATTTGGGGTTGCCAACAGAACAATTGAATGCTATTGGAGTCCACGTTTAAACGGAGAATCTATAGTGTGAGACTAGAGTTATTAAAGAGTACAAATGCCAAGATAAGCTAATAGAGTATATATGGTGAGCTAACTGTAAGATTACACTGATGATGAACCATATATGTTCTACAAAACCATAATGCTAAGCTAAATCACATGAAAATAAAGCTACCGAGATATACACTATCGAAACAAAGCCAAGTTGGAAGAGTTTAGGACAACAGTAGAAAAAAGTAGTAGAAAGTACCTGCAAGAAATTAAAATAGTATACAAAAACATATGAGGGGGTTTTGAAAAATAAAATAAAGGATTACTAGATGCAAGTAGTCAAAATTTCCTTCTAGTACGCCCCTATAGCACCGCATAATTGCTCCCAATTTCATATATTTGCAATACCAAATTCAATTTGATATTGGAAATGCTTGCATGGTCGTATAATAAATCAAGTTCTTTCTGTGATATTGACCATCAATAGTTGTGCCTAGTTTCTAAAGATACAAAGATGGAGGGATTGAGATATAGATTAAGATTAAACAACTCAAAAGACAAAGAAAGAACTATGCTGGTTAATATCACAGGAACAACTCCAAAGACAGTGAAAATAGACTATACATGAGGGGGTTTGAAAGGAAAAAATAAATAAATGTATAGTGGATGCAAGTAGTAGAAATTTCCTGCTAGCATGCCCCTATGTCAGCACATAATTGCTCTTTATTTCATATGTTTGCATTACCAAATTCAATTTGATATGGGAAATGCTTGCATGGTCGTATAACAAATAATCAAGATCTTTCTGTGATGTTAACCAGTAGTAGTCGTGCCTAGCTACTGAAGCTATATAAGATGAAGAGGTTGAAATATAGATCAAGGTAAAGCAACTCAAAAGACAAAGAAATAACTAAAAATAGCTATGCTTCTTCACAAAGGTAGAAGGAAGACATCACTTCATAAAGATGCATGATTCCATTTCTCAAGATGCTCATAACCATAAAACAACAAAAAGTAGCTAAGTCAAGTTACAGAAACTAGCAATGCACCATGAAATATATTTACCTGCTGCAGAATAGATCTTGATTTACATGATATTTTCATTTATATCGCTTTACAGTGCCGTAAAGTCATAAAAAAAGGCAATACCCGCAACTGTACAATTACATATCAATAAATGCCTAGAAAACTGCAGAAAACTAACTCGAAAAAAAAGTATGATTAATTAACTTGAAACATGAATCAATGACAAATAATTTTCCATCTCATACGCTAGATATTCAGCCATGCCCCTGACCTATGCATATAGAAATAAGATTTTGGTCACTTCGACCATTCTTCTGCGCAACTAGCATAGGATATGGACGCGTGGAGCCAACATAAAAGAAAATTAGACAATTTCTTTTTATAAAATTAGAAATATTTAATTATAAACATAGATCCACTTATCATTTATTTATAAAAATAGACCAACTTTAGGGCATGTCAGTGTCATTAGCTGAAAGTCGGTCCATTTTGGGCATACCAACAACGAAAGCTGAAAGTTGGTCGATTTTTATAAAGTCTGCTTAAACACCCAACATTGCAAAACGGGCAGTACTTAATTAAGCTTACACTAAACATTGCCAATCTTGGGTATTTTATCTTTGGTATTTTGCGACGTATTTTTTAGTGCACAAGATCAGAAATCTCAAACATAACCCAATTAAATAGTAAACAACCGGGAGTGGCAATCTAGGTTATTTAAGCCTGGAATCTATACATAACCAATTAATGTGATCGAAAGTTGGCCTATTTTTATAAATAAATGATGATTGGGTATATTCTTATGATTAAAAAACTATTCGTCTACGTAATAACCTTCACCCTCACAGTACCCACCTAAGTCCACTATAACCAAACACCTATAAGAGTTATCTACACCGAAGTTCATGGCTCTATCAAGATCGATATAAACAAATCAAACCAAATGCTAAAGGTAAACCAAGCCAAAACCTTTCTTCAACACTGTCTACTCACTATGTTAATCTATTCTTCTAAAATGCAGTTGTCCTTTCTACTATGGAAGACATGGTAGCAAAATTTAACTGGCAGCCAAAGACTCATGGGGAAAACAGTAGTTATTGATCTATATCCCATTTCCTCTTGATCTTGTCCTTTTCTTTTCTTTTATTTCTTTTTCCCCTTCCCTCTTTTGATTTTGTTGCTGGAGAAATAAAAAAAAGAAAAATACTGAGACTAACCATACCCAAATTGCTCTTCAACAGTCCCTGCTACTTGCCACCAATTGATTAACTCCTCTTCTAAGAAAGACAAAGGTTTCAGAAAATAAATAACAGACAACAATTCCACATGGAAAGCAGGTAGATTTGACCTGTTTTGTTGCATGCAATTGACTCAGCAGTGAATCTCGTAGGATTTCCCCCTCTCTTCCTTTCTCGTTTTAATATCTTTTCTTTCTTAGCATTCTCCATTTGTTTTTACTACTGGACAAACATGTACTTGCCAGAGAAATCAAGCTAAGATATGATTTTTCTGCAGTCTTGTAATTGTATTCTTTAAGCTCTTCTTCTGTTTCAAAAGGAGTTTCAGTTGTTTTTGAGTGAGTTTGCACAGGGAATAACTAACTGTGAATGCCCCCATTCAACCACACTGATATAGACCAAATCCTATATTTCTGTATTCCACGTTAAATTTAACCAAAATCCAATTGCAAATGGCTTCTGCAATGAATGCATATTTTGTTGCTTATTTTGTTTACACCAGGGCTTAAACATGAAATTCCATTCCCCCTCCCACTCACTTCTTAGCCATGACAACCAGACTTCAGAAGCCTTTTCATTACAAAAATATTCACGCATTCACCAGATTGTGCTAAGATCAAGCTTTGTGAATAGAACAAACCAACCCTACAGACACATAAATAACTGTGACCCATTTTTCAACAAAAGAAAGGATCCAAGGTAGGGGTTCTACATTTTGAAATCATAGGTTACATGCAGGACAACAGGGGCTTTTAACTCCACCAAAACAGTTAACCTCCCCTCCCTCTAAAGGAAGGATGCTTCTTGATAAAAAATATTATCAAAATAACAACTCCAGCCATGTCATTAAAAGGGTTGCATGCTAGTTGTGAGACTCAGAAAGAAACTAACCTCTACTATCTTTTTAAGATCCATATCCAAACTGAATATAAAGCTTATCTCAATCGATAACTCCGGAAACGTTAAATAACTTAAATGAGCTATTTAGGTCCTGGTTGGCAACACAATTCAACTTCCACACCCTAGTTTCATGCAGTATAGGGTTAAATAAAAAATTAAAATTAAAAAATTAAAAAAATGAAACTGGCAGTACTTGGATACCACTGTGACTGTGGTCAAAAGCAAAACCATCTGTGCAAGCCTCTTACATGTTAAAGTGCAGTTTATGAAATACCAGTTTGACTAGATTTTTTGATAAACTCCAAGACTGAATGAAAAAAATAATAATTTATAGCCATACAAATTATAAGACACTTCAGTCAACACCAATAGATGCCGTATCCCCTATTCATCAAGATAAGGTTTGGATGACAGATCAGATGTTTCAGGAACTAGTAAAATTTAGTCCAAGACTCCCAGATACTAACTAAAAACTAAAACAAACAGTAAAAAAGCACCCTCCAACTATAGTCTACATACTAACCACCTACTTGCATGTCTGCATTAAGAATTGAAACAATCTCCTTAGGAGAACTTATAATATCATCCTCAGTTGGAAAACAAAATCAAAAGTGCACAAGTTTAAGATACTTTTGAAATTTAGTTTCCTCTTGGGAAAATTGGCAGCATGTGTGTGTAGCTGTTTGCGCGCAAGCTTCTACACGTCCAGTTAATACCTCACCCTAATAAAAGAACACTTTCTATCCACTAGGTGAGTACATTTGTTCATGATTCCCTACCCCCACCCTTCCCCTTCAGAATAAAAATAAAAATAAAAAATAACACACAAACCAACACATGAAAAAAGTGCATGAGAGATGAGACTAATTTCAGAAGCATTCATAAAGCAAATACTTCAATCTATATGACAGACTACACGAATTGAAACTACACATCGATGGATGTCAACTACCAAAAACATACACTATCACCAAAAAGAGAAAAGGAAAGAGTACAAAACAATGATCTCAACAAGGTTGGATCATGAGTTCAAATAACCATAAAGGCACAAACTCACACTCATGCATCGAAGCATGTTGATGCACGAGTGGGATATCTTAATAGCAATCATTTTCCTTTCTTTAAGAAGGCTACACTTAGTTCTCAGTTAAGTTATGCTCGCATTTAAAGTGATTCTCTCCATCTACAAGTGTGTGTCTAACTGCCAATTTATATATTACTAGTTTATAGTTTATACTGCAGTAGATATAACATGGTAAAAGAAATTACATTTCCTTCTGCATCTGGTTTTCAAAAATCGAACAGACATCAGCTTGAAGCATACCTTTCCAACATGAGGGGCAATTAACCAAGCAAGGGTAACCGTAAGCAGGCCAGTTGCAACTAGAATCCCAGTACCTTCAACAGCCCATTTAGTTGTAGTATTCTCCACCATTACAATATTTTCAGGAGGGGGATTTGAAACTTGATCTACAGTTTCCTGTGAGACTACAACAGAATTATTGTGAGGATTGAACCATAATGATACCTCGCTAAGTCTTTGCCTTCGGACTGCTGCCAGAGCATCAGGATCAACATTTGAATTTGTTACCACATTTATCTGGGCAAGTTCCCCAGTTGCAGTCTTTTCCTTTAATGCCTCATATTCCTTCAAAGATGCCATGACTTTTTTAAAATCTGAATGCCTTATATTTTTAGCAACACTTCCACAAATTTCACATACAGTAGATCCATGACTAATAAACCACTTCAAAGCACATGCATAATGAGAAAGTGCAAGCTCATTTTTGCAGGAACATCCAAGGTCAACCAGTGTATCTTGCTGGCAGTAAGAGCCTGATTCTATATCAGCACTGCAAACAAAAACTTCCCCTTCAGGACTTATGAACTCAACAAATCCAGATTCCACACTATTATTGGCATGGATGACATCTTTTTTGACATCCTTTTTGGGGACTTTATCAATTGAATCACCATCCCCATTGCTATCCAGGGGTGGAGGGAAAATGTTCAAGAAGCCAAGGGCAGCATCTCCTCTCCTGTCAGATTCTGCACAGTGACAGACCCGACAAAGCAACAGGTCTTTATCCGTACTAGAATTTGGCGTGTGTAAGGTATTTAACGCCTGGTCATCAGCAGACGGGCACAAATTCTCTTCATTAGTTTCTCCATTAGTTGCGCCATTACTTTCAACACCATCGGACTGTTTCTGTTCTTCTTTAACACCCATGAGTTATGAGTATTTGTTGAACTTCAATATCATAAAACACACAGATTTTGTACGAGTAAATGGAGCAAGCAGCTCACCCAAATGCGATCAGAAATAATCTTGACTTGATCTAACATAATCAAGCAAACCAAAATTACCCTTTTGTGATTGACAATAGTCTGCACCTGCAAAAGAGTATGCTTCAGTAAGAAATTTTCAGGACTGCTTGAGACTTTTAAGGTAAAAAGAAAGCAGAAGTTGATAGTTGCCTACTCCATAAATTCAGGATTGCAAGACCAGTTATTTTTTATGTTTGGGGATAAAAATAATAAATAACATATGAAGTACAGTCCACCAATCAGAGTGGATATAACTTCACCAAGAAATGTAAGCCACAAAATTGTATTGGAAAATACCAATAAAAGAAATACTGCAGTGCTTTTAAATTATTAACTTTCTAAAGAAGAAACCAAATGTCTAACCAATATACAGTGTAGAGGATCAAGTCAAATTTTTAGCTAATAACATGGTGGTGCTGACAGTCAATCATACAGATGAAGTACCAAGGTATATGGCAATTCAATCAACAAAAGTTTTTGACTTGTTCTCACGCACGTGCTCAACTATTTAACGGAAGTTTGTTGATATCGGTCTACATTTATTTTTTTTCACATGTACGGGTACCTTTACCAGGAGTTCCAGTGGTTTGGCAAAGTACTGATACATAAAACAAGTCACTCTTAATCACAATTTTTCGAACTTCAACCATTAGAATGTTTGTTTTAGTAGTATTACTCAGTATCAGCTTATACTAGTTGTTATTTGCTAATATTGAGGATGCCAGCCAGTTTCTACTGGATTGGATCAACACCACTAAAACCCAATAGAATTATGTCAACATGTATCAACTTGCTGATACTTCAAACCTTGCCAAGAACATTCATATTGACTAAAAGATAAGCTTAATGATCCATGTAAATCAAGAACTTAGCTTCTTTTCATAACATAAAAAGCCATGTTAAAAAAATGAGGTTTTCTGGCTATCTGCAAATGCGCACCAAAAAGTTATGGTCACCACATATAATGTTATATTATGTTGTGGCGATCACACATAATGAAATAGTACATATAGGAAGTACTACAACATGAAACAGAAACAAAGAAAACAAGAATCCATAACACTTCCAAAGATGATGTGGTCATCACTTGACACCCATACAGAGAGAATATAAAGCAGAAGTCTACAACAGAAGGATAAAATATTGAAATTCTCAACATATTTAGCCAGAACAAAACTCGATCCTTCACAAAAATTGCAAATGATTTATCATATATCATTATTGTTGCAAATACTTTCCACATATCCAAACAATGCCTTCGAAAAGTACTCGATCCTTCACAAAAATTGCAAATGATTTATCATATATCATTATTGTTGCAAATACTTTCCACATATCCAAACAATGCCTTCGAAAAGTACCTAGTCTTTTCTAAATCTTCTAACAGAGTGAAAGATCAGTTGAAATTCACATTATTTTATTTTCGTAGATTTAAACAATGCCTTCGAAAAGTACTCGATCCTTCACAAAAATTGCAAATGATTTATCATATATCATTATTGTTGCAAATACTTTCCACATATCCAAACAATGCCTTCGAAAAGTACTCGATCCTTCACAAAAATTGCAAATGATTTATCATATATCATTATTGTTGCAAATACTTTCCACATATCCAAACAATGCCTTCGAAAAGTACCTAGTCTTTTCTAAATCTTCTAACAGAGTGAAAGATCAGTTGAAATTCACATTATTTTATTTTCGTAGATTTGTATGTTCATGGAACATACAGTTAGCTTAGACCACAACTGACTTAGTTAAAAGGTTTAGAAACAAAAGCCCCTTCAAATAAGAAACGAGAAACTATAGATGAGAACCAAATGCCAAAACAAGTAGTGCATACTTGTAAATAGTCATGATGCAGAGTAAACAATACTTATGACTAATACAAAGTGATCAACTATACAAAAGATAGGACAAAATGCCATTATACACTAAACTTTTACAAAAAAACTTAAGGTATTATCTATCATGAGTTAATGGCGCACGACACCTGACCCAAAACCTTTACTTGAACATATGATATGTATATAAGCGCATCTAGAAGCATATAGAGGCATAGTCAAAAGAAAGAAGAGAGGAGAGTGAACTGTGATGGCAAACATGTGATGATGCAATTAAGAACAAATGCATGTTAAATTTATATCCAGAAGATCATGGACAGGTCCATGGTAGCAATACCAAGAAAGGAATTAACCATCGCAGAAATGATTAAACTCAATGTATATCAATCTACATAAAAGTGGCTAACGAAACTACGCACTACCACTACTCTAAAATTGGATTTCAAAGCCTCTTTTGACTTGGGAAAAGTCATCGGATGATAAGAATAGAAAATGATGTGATCAATACTTTACAAAACAATAAGTTAAATATAGTTATGAGGAACACAAAGAGAATGAAAGAATCCAACTTAGGATAAAAGATTAAAGAAGATGTAGAAACCATATTGAGTCTATATAACCTAATGATCAAAAGGTTAGTGGGCAGCAAATCTACTGGGATCAACAATAAGCATTCACACGTGCATGGAGAGTTCCACTGCAGCATTATCTCTCAAATTAAAGAGGTAGTAGTTGTGTCACTACCTCAACCAGTATTTGTTCTTCAGATCCTTTTGGTATTGTATTGTATGTTGTTTGATCTTTCTCATCAGATTTTCTTTACTACCTATGGATTCAATAGGTCAAGAACTGCAATCAGGATACCTGGTAAAAAGGGAAATGAAAAAAATCAGATTTGATAGAGGATTTTCATTAACAGTAGACTAAGCAGACTAACCTACCAATCCAATTAAATCTAAACAATAAATATTAATTTACACACCAATTCTATCCAAAATGACTTTCCCCAAAATTCAATTTGTAGAAAATGAAATGTATTAAAATTCAAACATTTCAAATATAACCAAAATTTCAGTGAAATTGATCAATAACCATCTGAACTCCAACCAAAACCATCCTAAAGATCACCACAATTCAAAAAATTAAAACTGATAAAAAAAACAAAAGAAAACCCTAGCAAAAAGTCAGAAACAAAAAGATCAAATTTTGACACAGCAGCAGAAAAGAGAGGGCAAAGTCCACTACTAGCATTTGGAGTGATTAGATCACAAGGCATTTGGATTTTGATTGTGATGCTTAAAAAGGCTTCTTATTGAATGTGGTCGGTTTAAATTTGAGGAATTTGTGGAGGTGGATTCCAAACATGGGCTTATTTGTTTTTGGCAGCACTTATATACTTTAGACCCTAAAGTTTATAAAATTTATGCCTAGGTACCTTCATCATGCGAACGTGAGAACTTTTCCCCGAAATTACTATGTGACACTAGCAAGCTAATTTCTAACTTTAAACAACTCAATGTTTGCTGAATTAATTTTAGAACCACCCCAATTCTATTTTAGAGTAGAATTGCTATACGTTTAAGATAAAGTTAGGATAAGTTTAACAATAAATTCACAAACATCAAGGTTCAAAAAAATTAATGAGTTTGTGAGTGTCACATGGTAATTTTCAAGACAAAATTCTCACGCTTGCATGCCAAAAATATTTCACACAGAAAACTGCACGAAAACTCATTGCATATTATCAAAAACTGAGCGCACCCAACTCAATGACAACTTACTACTCATGAAAATTAACTTTAATAGTTATGACATAGTTAACACATGATCCTAAAGGATGTAATACTGCATTTGCCGCCAAAGCTTGGGAACCTAATTACTGACATTATTATCTAATTACAAGAATTCTAGTATGCAAATCATAGCTTTTTGACTGAAGAGGGAAAAAATATATTGAACTAAACATTGTGAAAGAAAAATTGATGCAACTCTATTCTATATGAAGATGATCATGAAAAATGCAAGGGAATTGACTAGAAAAAGGATGAGATTAAAACCAATATCACTAACAGTTAACACACAATTACTTCTAATGCCATTATCGATTATAGTACAGAGCTTAGTAAATCAGTATAAATTTCTTTTCTTTTTTAATAAGCAATCATCAAATCTATAAATAAATAATCAAATTCACCAAATGGGCAATTGAAATTGCGTTCTTTCTACCATAGCCATGCCCATAAACTCGGGAAAAAACCAATCTTTTTGAATAATTTCGAATGGGTTTTATATAACAAAATAAAACATATTCCATAGGAAAAAGAAACAAACTCTAGGACTTCGAATTAGGGGAGGGTCGACTTAGGGTCAGATTAGGGTTAGGGTTAGAACAGAGAGGAAGAGAAAGTACCTTGAGTTTCTTTAGCGACCGCAGAGAAAAACGATGATTTTGGGGTTCGATGAATCTGGGGATGACGACTGTAGCCGACCGAACTTTGCTGTGGCTCGTTGGCGAACGCGATCAGAGGCGTGAAATTTTTGCGGTATCATCGTATTTATTTTTCATTTTTAATAGGGTTAATTGCCGATAGCCCTCATATAGTGTCACCTAATTACGAATAGACCCTTATAGTTCTAATTGTGCGGACAAGACCCTCTGATTATTTGTTCAGAGTACGTATAGACACTTTTAGTGAACTTTTTTAGACTCTCTTAAGAGTCAAAAAGTTTAAAAATATATATATAGGTAATGGGAGCGCTATTCATATTTCATACCAATGAAAATGCAAGGACTCTGTCCGACCTCTGCAAAACTTTTTTAACCTTTTTAAAAGGCAAAAAAAAATCATTTAGGAAATCTCAGTATGATTACAACTACAAAGGATGTATATGCAATAGGACAATACTGCAGGGCTCTAACTGTACTTAACCCTTTTTTATATATGTATATTTTTTGTTTTTTAAGATTACATCATTGGATTTGGGATGACCTCTTTCTCAACAAGCCCGTGTTGTTTATAATACTTTTTTTTTCATTTGTTTTTCAATTAAAATGTGTTGCTATAGGACCCATGCTTGAAGGTTAATAAACAATTTGATTGGAGTATCAGATATGTAACTATCTCAATAAGTCATCATGCACATCCAGAAAGCTGTACTAAAACAATTATTTTATTAGTGATTTATATTGAATTATGTAGATCCTAGCATTTTCTTATACTTACTGTCGTATGACTTTTAACCAAACATGTCCATGGAATTTGATCAAAAAATATATACGCTAGCAACATAAAGTGATCTAAGAAACCTCTTGCACACAATTGATCGACGTTCCTTAGAGAATATATATATACCAGAAATTAAACAAATGCTCCAAAAAATTATTCAATGTTACTGTCATTAAGTAAGAGAGAAATAGTCATTGTCGCCTAATTTTATCTTCATCAACTAGTACTTAAATATGTTACTTTGCACTTATATATCCTCACTTGACACAACCACGTACCTATATACTCCTAGAATTTTTGAAGTTTTTACTTTAATACTTTCAGTCATGCAAATGTGAGAATTTTGTCTCTAAAATTACACTGTGACACTCACAAACTAATTTTAGATTTTCCCCACCTTTTTTGAAACCTTAATGTTTATTGAATTCATTATTAAACTTACTATAATTTTATTTTAAACTTACTACAGTTCTACTTTAAAATAGAATTTGGGTAGCTCTAAAATAAATTCAACTAACAGGGTAGCTCTAAAAAAAATTCAACTAACATTAAGTTGCTTAAGAGCTCTAAATTAGCTTGTTAGTGTCACGTAAGAATTTTGGGGAAGGTTCTCACGTTGGCATGATGAAGGTACAAAGGTACAAATTTTATAAACTTAGGGTCTAAAGTATATAAATGCTGCTAAAAATAAAAAGGGGTACATAAGTGCAAGTAGAAACTACATGGTATTTAAGTCTTGATTAGCCATTATGCATAAAAAAAGTCTTAATTGGCCATTACGCAAATTGATTTCTTCAAATTGACGACCTTCTCTTATTTGAGTTATTTTGTCTACATTTCTTTCTATTAAATATAAACACAATATTATAGTGATTTGCTGCTAAGAAAGTAGGTATACTATTGGATATACTGAATTGGGATTGGATAAACTTTATTAAATGAGAAATTATGCACTTTGGATCAGATGGGTTAGGCAATTATCAACTAGTAGTGGTCCCCACCCCAACATTATTTTGTCTACATTTCGTTCTACGGGAGTGTTTGGCAACCGTGACGTTTCTATCGTTTCTGTTTTTTTTTTTTTTAAAACAATGAAACGCGTTTGGCAACTCGGGTGTTTTTTTGACTTGATCCTTTACAAAATCTAAAAAAAAAAATACTTTTCTCAAAATACCAAAAAAGGTGTTTTCAACTTCTGTTTTTTCCCATAGCATGATATTTTTCTAAAAAACACTATAATAAAATCATTTTGATTACCAAACACACCTAAATATAATCACAATATTTATAATGATTTGCTGCTAAGAAAGTAGGTAGACTAGTGGATATACTGAATTGGGATTGGATAAACTTTATTAAATGAGAAATTATCCACTTTGGATCAGATGGGTTAGGCAATTATCAACTAGTAGTATCCTGACAATACCTAAATACTAGACAACAAATAATAAGCTTAGGCTGCGTTTGGCAAGAGGATAAATGGGGGTTAAGTGGGTTTAACCCTCCATTAGCCTGCCAAACAGAAAAAATAGAGGAAGGGTTAACAAACTCTCACGTGAGCCGGTTTGCCCATTTAACCCGTCATAAGAATGAATAACTATTCCTCGTAAGAAGGCGGAACAAGGCTTGTTCCGCCTTCTCACGCGAGGGTAGGCGGTGGAATTTTTTCATCTCAAGACTTCTTTCCTCCTCGAATCCCCAGAAATGGCTACTCCTTCGATTTTCCTCTTTCTCTAACGAAACCCTAAGTCCCCAACCTCCGATTTTCCTCAACCTAGCGAGATCCCATTTCATGCCAAGGTCGCCAATTCCGTGCACCTTGTGGGGTCCCTTGTCATGCCAGTCCAGCTCCAGACCTTGCCTAGTGGTGCCTTCGTCGTCTCGGTCCTCATTCGGGAGAGAACGAAGAAGGGTTCACCTCAGTTATAGTAAAAAAAATCTATCCAATTTAATCTTAATTGCTTCTGTTATCGTTGATTGGTACATTGAGATTGTCTGTTATTTGTAATAATTGGTTGTTAATTGTTGTGAGTAATTGAGGAAAATGTTACTTAAAATTGGGAAGTAATTTAGTTAGACATTGAAGAAAAAGATAAAACCCTAATCTTATTGCTGAGATAACATGGGCTTATATAGGCCCCTACAACTTACAAATAACCCCCTAAATCTATTAATATTTCAACACTCCTCCTTAAGATGAGCGAAAGATATCTACTAAGCTCATCTTATCACATCCTCTAATCATATCTACTGAGCTAAGTCCCTTAGTCAGACAATCTGCTACATGGTCCTTAGTTGGAACATGACTTAACTCTAATAGCCCATTATCCAACTTCTCTTTAATGAAGAACCTATCGATCTCGATGTGTTTGGTTCTATCATGCTATACTGGGTTATTGGCGATACTGATGGCTAACTTGTTATCACACCACAGCTTCATCTTTACTCCTTGATCCAGCTTTAGCTCCACCAGCATACTCTTCAACCATAACAATTCCGCAACTCCCAAGGCCATAGCTCTATACTCTGCTTCAGCTGTTGATCTTGCCACCACTGTCTGCTTCTTGCTCTTCCACGAGACCAAGTTGCCTCCTATAAAGATGTAGTATCCTAAGGTGGATCTCATGTCATCAGCACAGCTAGCCCAATCAGAGTCACAGTAACCCTCAATGCTCGCATGTTCATTCTTCTTGAATATCAGTCCTTTTCCAGGAGCGCTCTTCAAATACCTTAGGATTTGGTATACTGCGTCCATATGATCCTTCCTCGGATCATGCATGTAGCGGCTCACCACGCTTACTGCAAAAGAGATATCGGGACGTGTGTGACTCAAATAGATCAACCTGCCCACCAACCTCTGGTATCTGTCACGATCAACTGGCTCTCCAGCCTCAGCACCCAGTTTAAACTTCTGATCGATCGGTGTAGTTACAGGTTTGCACCCTAACATCCCTATCTCTTTAAGAAGATCCAGTGCATACTTTCTTTAGGATAGGACAATCCCCTCCGCTCCTCGAGCTATCTCTATTCCAAGAAAGTACTGAAGCAAGTCAAGATCTTTCACCTCGAATTCCTTACTCAGTCTCACTTTAAGTTGGGCAATCTCCTTCTCATCATCTCCTGTAATAATCATATCATCCACATATACCGCAAGCATGGTAATGTGGCCTCCACTCCGTCAAAAGAACACGGTATGATCGACGTTAATCTGTTGGTACCCCATACCTATCATAGCCCTCCTGAATCTATCGAACCAAGCACAAGGAGACTGCTTCAGCCAATAAAGAGACTTCTTCAATCTGCAGACCTTGCCCGTTGTCTGATCTGTGTCGAATCCTGGTGGTATCTCCATGTATACCTCTTTCATTAGATCTCCATGAAGAAATACATTCTTCACATCTAGTTGGTGTAGCTTTCATTCACCATTTACTGCCAGAGAGATCAAAGTCCTAACAGTGCTCATCTTCGCCACCGGTGCAAATGTCTCATCATAGTCGATGATATATGTCTGACTGTACCCTTTTGCCACTAGACGAGCCTTGCAGCGCTCAACCTAACCATCTGGATTCTGCTTCACCGTAAAGACCCACTTACATCCAACTGATCTCTTTCCTTCTGGTAGTTTTACTAGCTAACTCCCAATTGCGGTTCTTCTCAAGAGCCCCTAGCTCCTCGTGCATATCCGCTTTCCACTTTGGGTCCTTCTTAGCAACCTGCCAGTTGTTAGGTACAGTAACAGAGTCCAATGATGTAATGAATGTTCCATGTGCAGGGTGGATGTTAGAATATGATACAAACTGGGTAAGATCCTAACCATATCTATCAGGAGGATTTCCCGCATTGCTGCGAGTAGTCCTCCATACTGACATTGGTGTAGGAGGAGTAAATAGAGGAATGATATCACATTGGGAGGAATCTGGTGGTGGTGTAGGTGTCTCAGGAGTGGGGACAGGCATTGGCAAGGGACTTGGTACCAGTGGCACTATAGGTACTGTTCCCGCAATTTGCTTTTCCTTCCTACTATAGGTAAGTAACTCCCCCTGAGCCGTGGGTCTAACACCTCTTGTCTCATTCTCCTCTTCTTCTTCATTCTCCTGCTCCTCTTCAACCAATTCTCCTTCACAAGGAATCGATACAGAAATTGATTTCTCCACATTGTTCACTGGGATCTCACTATTCTCCCCCTCTCGCCTCATACTTCCAGTATCGGGCGAGTTACCAACGAATGAAGATACCTTCCGGGTGTAATATGGCTCGAGTTCTCGAAAGTGCACATCCATGCTCACAAACAGCTTCTTCTCCACCGGGCTCCAGCAACCATATCCCTTCTGAGTAGCAGAATATCCCACAAAGATGCACTTTACCGCTCTAGGGGCAAGCTTCCCGATAGATGGCCTATTGTCCTTCACAAAGCACACACAACCAAACACCTTGAGTGGAAGAAGTCCACCATTATCTTCCTTCAACGTCTCACACGAAGACTTCCAATCCAGCACTCTCGAGGGCATTCTGTTGATCAGCGCTGCTGCGGTCAACACTGCTTGCCCCCATAATGTTTCTGGGATATTTATGGAGATCATCATACTTCTAGCAACCTCTAAAAGATGTCTGTTCTTCCTTTCCGCTACCCCATTCTGAGCTGGTGTGTATGAGCATGTAGTCTGGTGCTGTATTCCCTGAGCTGACAAGTATTCCCCAAACGCTTTGTTAGTATACTCTATCCCATTATCAGATCTCAATACCTTCACCATAGCGCCGTATTGAGTCTGAGCATACCTATGAAAGTTTTGGAAGCAACCAAACACTTCACTCTTATTTTTCATCAAGTATAACCAAGTAACGTGAGAGAAACAATCAATAAAGGTAACAAAATACTTGTATCCCATTCATAGAACTTGTGGAGCAAGGCCCCCAAACATCTGAATGTATCAGGTCAAATGTACGAGAACTCCTATGACCAGAACTTACATAAGAACTTCTAGTAAGCTTTCCAAACTCACATGCATCGCACACAAGGTTCTGCTTATTTTCTTTCTCAAATAGAGATGGATACAACCTACTTAAAACATTAAAGGATGAGTGTCCCAAACGCTGGTGATAAAGCATCAACATACTCTCAACACTCATCTCAGATCCTACTCCTGCTCTCTCTACCATAGATACCATTGCTGAGTCCAGCCCTTCACGATCCAGGTACCACATTCCACTACGCCATGTGCCAGTCCCATGTCTCCGCCCTGTCCCCTTCTCCTGGAAGATCACCTTGGGAATGTTAAAAAAAACAATGCATTTTAGTTGGAGTATGATAGCACTAATGGACAAAAGATTGACTGAAAAAGAGAGAGCATGCAAAACATTGGACAAAGTTACAGAATCTGTACAATTGACAATACCCTTACTAACCACTGGCTGAAATGTACCATTAGTTGTTTGGATACTATCAGCCGATGCTAGGTGAGTATATGATGAGAAATCACTAGCATTACCTGTCACGTGTCGAGACGCACCGGAGCCGACTATCCAATCTAATGATCTATCGGGGGACATCAAAGTAAGAGCATGTATGTCATCAGTACCTTTGGTCGGATGAGCATAAGTAGCAGTGTTGCCTCTAGCGAAGAACGAAGTGGATGCCTCCTCAGTCCCACTCCTCCTGTCTCCATCTCCTGCTACTCTTTGTTTCCTCCTGAGTATCTCCAGGAGCGCATGATCCTCCTCGGTAAAGACCACTTCAGCTGCTTCCTCTCCCTCTGCTATCATCAGATTCGCCCGGTTTCCTCCTCCCCTTCCACCTCGTCGACCCCCACAGCCACGACCACGACCTTCAAACTGTCCACGTCCATCCGAATCTCCTTCCTTAGGTGGCTTGGTGCAAGCATGTCTTAAATGACCCACTTCAACGCAGTTGTAGCACTGCCGAGTCTCCCCCTTAGATCCAGTGTTGCTAGAGTTGGAAGTTGTCATTGCTGACTTCACCACCGGTAGTCCACCTGTCCCTACCTACAGCTTAATGCGAGTCTCCTCCTGAATCATGGCCGAGACTACCTCCTCAAGTGTGGGAATCTTTGACTGAGCTAGCAGCAATGCAATCCTCTGAGCAAACTTCGATGCCAGCCCCTTGAGAAACACCATAGTCCTCTCCTGTAGAAAGGCCTCTCGCTCCTTACACTCCGGGTCCTTGTAGTTGGCCCGAGGTGAGAAGTAATCATAATCTATCCACAGGCGCTCCAGCTCTGTGGCATACCCCTGGACAGTCCTCTCCCCCTGAACTGTGGCGTCGATTTCTCCCTTGATCTAGAACACCCTTAGGTTATTTCCCACCCCATCATAGGTCCTCCTTAACTTCTCCAAGACATCCATCACCTTCCTGATGCCATCTACTGTGATGGCAATTGACTGGACCAATGAGTTAAGGAGCCAGATGTGCACCAACATATGAGTGGATTTCCACTCATCTCTTCCAGCTGAGCCTTAAGTTGGCTCTGTCGTCTCTCCTGTCAAGTACCCCTCTAGGTTCCTTCCTGCAAGGGTGTATCTTACCCGCCGTGACCAACTTAGGTAAGTAGCTGGTCCATCAAGCTTCAGATCGATGGGTGAAAGCTCTAACTTTTTTGGTGGCCTTGTCGCACTCTCACCGGCTGATAACTTCATCAACTGCATCAAAGTTGAGACCTCCGCGGTGTTTAACTTCTTGATGATCTCTTCCATCGATCAGGCTTTAGATCAACTACCTATTCTCCTTCCCTTGTTGTGCGCTGTGAAAAATTCGACAGCACTTCTACTGCAAAACAAGAGTAGGATCTCAACTAAATTCTTGTTTCTCAAAGGAAACAAGAATCGACAGTGATATATCTTAACACCATGAGATATACACTCTTCCTCTCATCAGTTCTAGGACTGAAATGTCGAGGGAATCGAACAAGCTACACATCCTCTCATCAATTCTATGACTAGATGTTGAGGGTATCCAACAAGCTACAAATCATAGGACTGGGCTTTGGCGGGAGGGGAGATTCGGAGACCGGGGGGAGACTACGGGGGGAGGGGCTGGCGAGACCGAGGGGGCTGTGAGGAGGAGGGCTGCGAAGGGGGGGATGTGAGCAGGGGTGCTCAGCCGAGGGCAGATGGCAGCGGGAAGGGGCTGCGGGGCGGAGGGGGGCTGTGAGACCGAGGGGTGGCAGCGAGGGGGCGGGGAGAGGGGGGGCGGGGGGCTGCAAGGGTAGAGTGCGATCCGGAGGGGAGCAGCGAGAGGAAGGGGGTAGTCGCGTAGGAGCTCAGGCGTAGATAAACAGTGGCGCGGAACTAAGGGTTTGGGTGGAGGCTCTTATACCATGAAGAAAAAGATAAAGCCCTAATCTTATTGCTGAGATAACATGGGCTTATATAGGCCCCTACAACTTACAAATAACCCCCTAAATCTATTAATATTTCAACAGACATAATAATCACTTTCTTGTTATTGGGAATTTTGTGAATCATATAAAAAAAATCTAATTTTGAAATGGCACAAGTTAATGTTGTATTAGTTGGCTCGTAGCTATGGGATTTACTAGTATTGAGTCCAAACTGTTGGGGTTACATTGTGAAAAATATTACTAGAAGGGCACACAACTATCAGTAACCTTTCATTCAACCCCACTTAAATGGTTATGGAGGCTTCACCTATAAATGTGGAAGCAAATTTCTTTCTTTGTTGATTTGATTTCTTTTCTGTGTGAGAGGAAAAGAATTGTATTTGTGTTATCTATATTTTTCCCTGCAATTAAATTATTTTGTTAGTTCACTTTGTTTCCTCCTTTGGCTGGGTATGTCTCCTTATAGCAAGTTGACCAATTTTTTTCAAACATCCCTTCTTGCAACAGCTTCTTACTTCAATGAATTTTAGGTGATTTTTAGTTCTTTTGCAACTTCTGTGAGATGAAACTTTTGTCTGGTTGATGTTAGCTAGGT